TCCTTTAATTTTCTATCCAATATGTTATTTGTGCATCTAGAACATTCAAATGTCCGATGATATAAAAAAAAACTTATTCAACAGTTAAATTATAATAATAAATTCAGAAAACAGTTGGGCACTCTCTTTGACATATCATTTGATATGTGCAACAGGTTTTCTGATATTTCAAAAATAATATTACTTTGCCTTTCAATATCAGTGTAATCATTTCTATCAGACCATACTTTTTCTATGAATGAAGGTAGATGTGGGGTATAAGTAAATGCAGAAGTCTTGAACTTCTGGTAAATGAGATAGCAACCCAACCATGCACATAAATAACTTAGACATCTAGAGAGCAAAATATAGCCTTCTCCAAAAGACAGGCTCTTACAGGGCAACTTAAATACTCAACAATAGACATGCCTTTATAAAAATGTCAGGATCTAAATCGCCAAGAGTCTATACGTTCAATGTGAATTTAAAAAAAAACTATGTGGTGTTTGCTTACATCATCGTTTTTCAGTCTCTGGTGTATTGTTTTCTAATATTGACAATAATACCACATCTTCTTATTTTTCTTAAGGTCTGTTATAAACACAAACATTCTCCAAATAACGAAAACAAATAAGATATGACATACGACAACTACTTACGAAATCCCCAAATTTTGACAGGTACTAGTACATGTATATGGAAATGTGTTCGAGTTAAACTTACTTTTGTAGGTCTCAACCCTCCCCCTGTTGAATCTCAGTATAGATTAACAAAACGTGCATAAAAACAAATACAAAACAGACAAGTTCTAGAAAAGAACTTAACTGATTTGTTTAAGTTTATGCCACACATCTTATTTTTGGTACGTAAATTTGCTATCCTATGCCTTTTTTCACAGTTAATCGTCTAAGTTCCAATTCGCCTCCTATTGGTGTCTATATAAAAATGATCGTCCCACATGAGTGCATATTAAATATTTTTGAAAATCTATTTTGCCTTTCTGCTTACCGGGCTATGTGATTACAAAATTATTTTGGATAGACATGTTTTGTTTATGTCTAAAATTCAAAGAACCCTCATACAATGGCTGTATAAAAAGTTGTATATAGCAGACCTATAATACTTTTTCATGAACTTATTTAGCGATTTTGCAGGTTAATATATATGAAAACATTTGTTATCTTCATCAATATGAATTGCTTTTTAAACTTGCCTGAGGAAGACGGAAAACGATCCCGGATACACATGTGAAGATGAAGCTCTATAGTTTATTGAAAAATTTAGATTCACACCGCATATGTTTTCGAAATTTATGACTGAGTTTCATATGAAATTGTATTGTGTCTGGTTTTTGCATATTACTCCCATCTTTTCTTTTCAATATGGGTTTATGTTAAGAATAAACATCATTATCTAACGGTTATACAGATACAGCGAAAATTGACACGAAGTAGGCAAATATTTCGAAAAATAGGAATTATACCAACCTGTATGTATTTCACACTAGTAAAAAAGAAGAAAAAACGTGAGAATGCCTTTTAATTTACCTCTTTAAAATTATTGTAGCCTTAAAACTGTCAAAACTTATCAAATCGACTTTCTAAAATTCACAGGTTTAGTCTTTTTTACCCAAATCTTCTGAAAAGCGTCTCAAATTCGAAAAATGGATTTTTTAAGATTAGAAAAAAAACCACCGCTATTTTAACTAGTTGCGATTTTAGTCTCTTTTTTTTAACTATGTTAGAACATAAATCAGGCCATTGTTTTTCTCTTTTAAATGATTTCTCATTTTTTCATACCGGGGCATTTTATAACATAACTTTTTATAACATGTATAACTGGGTTTACTCATTGTTGAATGACGTACAGTGTCCTATAGTAACTGTTGATAACATCCTCGTATTTTGTTCTTTCAATTGACGGAAAGTTTTCATCATACCACAACTTTTTATTTATAAGCCAATATATCCATTTGTTGAATTAAGATGATACATTTCAAATGTAGGACATAAAAGCCCCGGACACGAAGATGGTACCAGAAAAAAATCAGGTTAGAGATAGTTTGTCTCTGATTTACAATGTGAAAAACTTATTTCATAGTAATAGTTTGAGTTTTCTTGAACATTAATAATTATAAGTATAAACAACTTTGTAAACAAAATTAATTCACGGTAAAAGAATTCATAATGATCTAGTAATTATTTAGAAAATAGGCTGCGAAAGTTTGTTATTATTTGACTGGCTTTATGGTACCAAGAAATATATCCTTTGCATGAATAAAATTTGATAAGTCTTCATTTATCAATTCTAACGAACAATATCCCAAGCTGTATAATGAATTTATGTGATGAAAAGAAAGTACTTCAATAATTTAAGTTTCTCTAATATATTCAAACTATAGTAAACAGTTTTACTATTTAAATGTGACTTTTTGTCCTATCAATTATGTGACGGTCAGGCGTGGGACTTTGTGCCATTTACTTGCAACTCAGGACTGAAAAATTACCTTTACTTAAGACCTCATAATTACCATTGTAAATTCAATCGTTTACGGTTTCAGAGGCGTATAAAACAGATAGTAAATACCTTTTTTCAGATTTTTTTTTACATAATCAAGAAGGACAAAGAAGATTCTTTTGAAAGAAAGATTTGTAATTATGCCAAATGAAAATTAAACTATGAACTTTTTTGACATAGTAAGTCGTGAATTCTTTCTACTACAGCCCAAGTATTGCATATTCAAATATAGTTTTTCTTTCTCTTTAAAACCAAGTGTCTTGCTGATAGCAAGGATTTAAAACTATACAAATCCTTGCTGATAGTTAACATGTTAAAGGATTCCCACTGATTACAATCAATTAACACATATATGATCATATATAGACCATCGCGACACATATCGAGAGTTGTCTTATCTTGCGAACTGGACACCGGATGAGTCAAGGAGATTAGAAACCCAGTTCAAAAGAATTATTTCTTAATTTGAGTTATCTCCCTCAAAAGTGTCCACAATTCTTGTACATGTTGAAGACCGTACTTTGACTGATAATGGTTTACTTTTATAAATTTTGACTTGGATGGAGAGTTGTCTCATTGGCACTCATACCACATCTTCTTATATCTATTGACCACCGTTAGTTATTCTTTCACGATCATTTCTCTCGATATACCGAATGACACCCTTGTGTTTGGATACATACACATATTTTAAATTTATTCAACATGTGTCGTTTACCAAGCTAACATAATTCCTCTTGTAAAATCCTTGAATCTCTTTTATTAAACCTTCACCCTAAAGAATAGTACCATAAACATGATAAACAGATATGCATGACAAAAATGTTTATTAGATAAAAAAAAAATGGAGATTGCCGTGGTTTCTATGCTTCCTAAATATGTATATATATATATATATATATATAAATATATATATATACAAGTCTAAATTGAAAACAACGTTCAAACCTATGATTGTGTTGGATAAAAACCGCAATTTTTATACGTGTGCATGCAAAACAAATTTCTTGTTAGAGGGGTCTAAATACAGCACAAACAACATTTTTCAAAAGACCAAAAAAGTGAAAAAGTATATTTTAACAAAACGCATTTGACTAGCAGGTCCAACAACGGATGTTCTTAAACCCTGCTGACTGCCATGGCGATTGCCAAATAAACCGATCACCAGATGTAACAAAATGGATCTTAATTATTAATTTAATACCAAACAGAAAACAATAAACTTGCGGAAAAGATGGTATACCGCAAAAATGAGGTGCAAAAATTTGTACACATATCCGAATTTCGACAATTAATGTCTCTTCAGTAATGTTAGGAATCGAAACGGTATTTGGAAGGCCATATAATTTACCTCAATTTAGGAAAGACTCTTGAATTTACGCCGACAAAGTTTACTTGAAGAAAACGACCAATATTAACTAAACCACGTGCACAGTGGGACAAGAAAATCTGGTATGGTACAGCCACAAATAAATCGCACTATATGCATTAGAGCTTCTGTTGTCCTTCTTGTTTTTTCGATGAAGTAACCCAGTTATGATATATACATTAATTGTACAACTTCTAAATTGCATAATTTAAAAAAAATATATACCGCTCGCTTCACTTTTAGAGCATTCGCCTAAAAAAAAACATTTTCAAGAAAAACAAAAAAAAAACAATTTCGCTCGCTCGCCCTATATTTTTTGGAGCAGTTGACAGAAGAACTAGAGATCAGATTGGTATGGCCTTATTACAGTTAAACACAATAGCAGATATTATTATATGATACATGCTATTTTTGCAAGCTGTTGGAAATAGGGTAAAAAGGTATAAACCGAATGGGATGTAAAATAAGACCTTATAGTATAGGCAAAATAACACTTTGCAGTTGAATGAGACGGTGTTTTACAAAATTTATGCATTTGCTAAGAAGATGCAGTGATTTGAATTCAAAGGAAATAAAACATAATGCCATTATTTTTAAAGGACAGAGGCTATCAAAACATAATCTCTTAAATCATTGTGAGGTTAAAATTCATTTCCTCATAATAATTAGAACCTTAAAGAGGACTTTGTATTTACACAGATAAATTATGACGTAAGGTGATTACATTTCATGAATGTTTTTAACTTCAATCACTTATATAATTGCGATGAGAGCATGTTATAAATAAAACATATCTATTATATTAAATAGTAATTTCATGGTAAATATTTTTAACCTTATACAATAATACAGTCGGAGATTCATAAATATCCAACTGATTGAATATAGTTTTACTCGACAAACCACAAGACAAAACTTAACTGGTTTGCGTGCTCAAAGGTGGTCCAATGATGACATTTGACCTTCTGTGCTGAAAGTCCGGGAAACAATATTTTACAGGTTTCATTCGAAAATTTTGCTTCTTGAATAAACGTTCTCTAATACCTAAAAAAATCACTCAGTATTGTATGCGATGTTATTTTAAAATATATATTCGGAACAAAAAATATTGTATAGCCATCTCAAATATACTCACATATAAGATGAACCGGAATAACAATAGTATCTGGAGTAGTAACTTCTGTAATAACAGTAGCTGGCTGTGACTGGTATAACTATTTACGAATATAAAACATGATCATAATCATGATAAAGTAGCTGGCTGTGACTAGTATAACTATATAAGAATATAAAACATAATCATAATCATGATAAAGTAGCTAGCTGTGGCTGGTATAACTATATACGAATACAAACAGAATCATAATCATGATAAAGTAGCTGGCTGTGACTGGTATAACTATAAACGAATATAAAACATAATCATGATCTTGATAAAGTAGCTGGCTGTGACTTGTAGAACTATATACGAATATAAATCACAATCATAATAAAGAAATCGACTCTGGCTCATAATAAATATACTAGAACATTTTACTGGTACAACTAAACAGAACTATATATAGATACATGTACATTGATAGATTATTTGTTTTACTTTCAGTCGAAAAGATATCATGCAAATCCAAATATTAAACGTAATCAAAATGTAAATATATTTGTTTGAAACCGTTTGATCAGAGGATTTCTATACAGTTGAAGAGCCGTTTTAACTTCAAATTCAAAATAAAACCTTCTTTGGGTCCCATGAAGAAATAAATGTATACGAGAAATTTATGTAAGTTGGTCGATCAGATCTTAAGATTGCCTCTTGCAATGTTTTTCATTCTAGCGGAACCAAATAAAAATCGGTTGTAGAGGACGTTCCATTCATTAGGTATGTCATGTTTGGTTATAATTGACCAAACAGTTTCAGAAAAGAGTACGAAATGTAATGCTCATTAGAGTTTCAGAGAAAACCGCCAACCCTGCTATATTTGTCATGTTTATAATTTGTTAAACATTAACCAACATTTTGAGGGTCTTCCAATCATCATTCCAATAAAGGTTGCAAACTTTTCGCATTGTAGTGTTAGTTGAGATTAATTTTTACATTGGCTAACCAGATTGACTCTGGTCCCATATTTTTGATCCGATCAAAATTACATGACGATTACTTATAGATGACTGTCTGTGCATCATGTCTGCAAATTATGGTTGAATTTGGCCTGGTGTATTTACAGAAAATGGTAAGATGGGAACTATTTGCTAATTATTACAACAGTTTTGACACCCGATCATATATAATTAGATAAAAGTCTTTTGTAAATTTTTGCATTATAGTTTCAGCGGAGAATTTGTTTTACTGCAGGTCTGACGTAATTTTACACAAGGAACACGATTGGTTAATTTTATTTAGACTTTCCTTAAAATACTTTTTCAAGCTTTGAGACATGTAAGAATTAATAACCGATGTGCTTATGTTGTTTTCTCTTGAAAAAAAATATATTTAAACATTAAATAACTTTTATGGACGACTGATACGTTTCGTCATGGTTTGTCCCTCATTGACGAAAATGGCGGCAGATTTTGAAAAAAAAATCACTCGATTTTTAGCCGTGTCATTGTTATCATCTACTTTCCTGAATCAAAATGTAACTTAAAAGAAACCATGAAACCTACCGTTTTCAGAATATATAGCATTATTATGTTAAAATACGATGGGGCAGAACAAGAAGCTCGTTAACTGAACATGATCATTTTCACGAATCCACGAGGCCTGCCGTCGGCAATGCGTTGAGGCATCGTTCGGCGCATGAGTGGCGATGCCTGAAGCCATCGTTCGCCTGGAAAGGGAATCCTGTAACACTTTTTGAACACACAGAACATGAACAAAACCAAATTGTTATAATTAAGAACACCTGATGTTCACTTTCAGAACAGTTGACGAACGTGTTCAAAGTGATGGTGTTAAAATATGGAATACTAGAACACACCCGCGAAATCGCGGGTATTTAGAGCTTGGTTGAAAGTATGTAAACTGTTGCAGGATGAATTTTTGTAAAAGATTTTATGTCTGGAGAATTTCAGAAAAGGTATCAAACTGAGTCACAGGCACTTGGAGACTGGACAATTATTTTAAGCCCTCTCCCTTTTTTTCAAAGTCCGTTATTTTTTTGCTCTCTGTTAAATTCCATGATTTTCGCGTTTCTGTATACTATGAACATACATATAATATAGATAAAGTGTATTTGCTATTAACTATCAATTCCAAGTTTCTTCTCCACGGCGATCACTGCTATATTATATAGAGAGTCTCTATATATTATAGGATTATAATCATAGTATACATGCAGAATAACGCGAAAATAATTGTCCTGTCCCCGAGTAATTATGAAAATTATGTTTAAAGAGGGGAGTAAAGGGGGGGGGGTGGTGGTATCTGCACGGAAGAACGCGAAATAAAATTGCCATTTCACGATGAGCGAACAATTAAAAATTTCTTGCACGTTGATCTTTTTATCGATTTCAAGAAACACGGTGAATAACGAACCTTTTTCACGGCTGCACGCGTGAAATAAAAAGTGGCAAAACACGTTGCACAAAAATAACCCTTTACCCCCTCTTTTAAAGTTTAAAATCGGAAGTCTTGGGTATGACATAAATGTTGGTCTGATGACGGAAACTATATCCGGACGCCTTTTTCTTCGTTTTTTCCCCAAACTGAATAATCATAAGAATGGATGACAAATGCGACTATGCATGGTACCTATAGGACACAGAGGCATGATGATTAATTTATTGGGGAAGGAAGAAAAGCGACACACAAAATGAGGTCTCCTCGTTTAATAGTATAGATGTTCTGTTTTCAAGCGTACATAATTTTTCATTAGTACTTAACTTTAATTGTTATAACAAAAACTACATTCAATTCAGGCAAAATAACAACTCTTTATGTAATCAACTGAACATATATGAAAGAACAGTACATCAGACGTCTTAAAATATCATAAGTAACAGTTTTACATATACATCACTGAAATGACATATATATATAATTTTATTTGAAACCGACATATATAAAACGAATAAAGATTATTTTTTCTTCGTGACTAGAGAGTTACTAAATCTCCAGTATCGTAGCCAAAAGTACATGTCAATGTGATAAGTAAACAGTTTATCAGTCACAACGAATGGGTCTGAAACTCTAGTGCAAACTAACGCTTGAGAATCTGGAACACGAGATGAATAATTCAATAATTCACCATGGAATAATTTTATTTCGGATGGACAGTTTAAAGTCGTGAGTCCAATCTGATTCATCAAAATTATAAAGATATTTATGTATACAAAATTAAATTGACATGAATAAACGGGCGCATTGCATTTGCGCCAAGTTTTACAAAATCCAGTGTTTCATTTGCGCCACAAGGTTATATTTCTTTTTGCCATTTTACAGGTAACATATAACTGAAAAGTTAAAATATGCATTGCTTTATCGTGAATAAGAAATCTTTTTACAGAATTCCCCGTTGGTATTCAAATGAGTTCATAATCATTTCTAATACAAAACTGAGAGTCACTTCGGTTTATAATTATATAGTGTTCACATGTTTGAGGTGTCAAGATGGACATTATTAATTCGGAGACAAATAGAGGAAATTAGCCCGTAATTTATGATGACCACACATATAGGTTATCTAATGTTCTGTAAAATGAAGAAAAGTCGTTTAAAGTACAAAAAACTTGCAAAGCAAGAATAATAACAGATATGGGTCCTCAATGCTCTTCAACTTTGTACTTGTTTGGCTTTATAACTATTTTGATCTGAGCGTCACTGATGAGTCTTATGTAGACGAAACGCGCGTCTGGCGTATTAAATTATAATCCTGGTACATTTGATAACTATGGACAACAAAAAAATATATAAACTTTGAACGAACACAACCATGGTTATCATTAGAACTTACCAGTGCATAGTGCTTTCACTTTGGTTTAATGATGACTAATTTCTGATGAATATCATGTTTTATTATGCAAAGAAAAACAGTGTTTTAAAGTTATTATTGAAAGTTTCTTTTGAATAAATCTATTTTTTATACTATTTATCTGTATTATTGCTGCAAATGACTTTTTTTTTTTTGGCGCAAATGAAATAAGGTTTGTAGCGCAAATGAAAGATTTTTTTTGGGTCAAATGAAATGCCAATTGGTGCAAAAGCAAAGCATCAGAATAAACTTAATAAATAACAACTAATCTGAATGATATTGTCAGGGGCGTTGCTTAGACAAGTTATTTTTTTAGTTACTTATGTAGGTAACGTTTACTTTTAAAAATAATTAAATTACTCAATAGAGTCATTTAAATTTCAATAGAAGCATGGACCAAATGTAGTTTTCATGAATCTTTACATCATACTACATAAAATTAAGAATTTAATAAATTTGAGAGGAGTATAGAGATAAAGGGTTACTTTAAAAATATTAACAAAAATATTACTTGAATAAGTTATTTTATACATCTTTGAAAGAATTAGTATTTACCATTATTTAAGGAACATATGCAATTATTTTGGGTTACAAATTATAAATAACTTCAAGTCTTAACTAACTTACAAGTTTCTATCTATTTATATCTGTCTACCTTCAAGATTTTCAAGGAAACTGATATTTTAATAGTCCCAAGAGACCATTCTTTGACCCAGAAGCGCTTGAAAATTTGTTAAAGCTTGTAAAATCTGTATGAATATAAATAATATTTAGAAAAGTTACTTATATGTAGTATTTAAAATAGCCTCGTTTTCAACCTTACTTGTATAGCCTGAGGTAATTTTAAAAGTTACTTGCCAAAGTTTAAGTAATGCCCCTGACTGTTTTCAGAACTTGGGAGAATAAATGTGAAATAATAATCAGATTATGATAATTAAGAACACACAGTTATGAATAAGTTAAATTTTAACTAATTGAATAACTGTTACAAATTAAAAAACGTAAGTCAATGTTCAAATTATCAAAGGTTATGGATTATGGATAAGAAATGTAAATAGAAACCAAAATATGTATATAAAACACAATGAATTTCAAGTCCAAAATGTCAAAATTATGAATTTTAAGTAAAAGTCCAAAATAATATGAGAAGTAAAAGCTTGGTCACATTTTCCGAAGAAAGTAAGAACTGGTATTTTTAAGCCCACAGTATTATTTAGAGGTTAATTCAATTTAAATTAAAAAGTTTGTAGAATTTACATTTTTGTTCTTTTTGTGCGTGTCGATGGTGGACATTGAAGGTTCACATATTTTATTTTAATTTTTAGTTTTCATTAAAATATTTTAGTTTAAAGTATGTCAAGGCATTTAAATGTATTAATTAAGCAATGGTTAATAAAGCCGAATTGTTTTTCTTTAAACCTTTATTCAATCGGGTCAAATCAACAATGCCTATAGTTGTTGGTTGCTGCTTTTATTGTTAAGTTTTATAAATAACATGATGAAATGGATATAAATACGCCACAACGACAGTAAATTAACAACTAAAAACTTTTATACTTTTGATTATACCTTGTATGTGTTAGAGTCAAAATAGTTTGAACTAATTGTTTTAGTTTGTATGCGTCATTTCCTTGTCTATTGGAATACGTAGGTCTTGTATGTGGCTTTTAATTTGTATAGTTGGTGTATATGTAGATGAAGATTTGTAATTCCCTTTTAATATCATTTGGGTCTATCTTACCTGTATTTACTAGAAGGGGAAACATGGGGCAATTAAAAACCGTTGAGGAAAGACTGACAAAACCAAGACAAAAAGAAAACAGACGAATAGACAAACTCAAATTATAATATTACACTGAAAACTAAAGTTTGACCAAGACTACAAATCCAGTTGAAAATTAAAACATTCAAAATCAAATTTATACGTTATATAAAACCCTTTTCTGGGTTAACTTTTCAGTGTCGGAACTCCCGTGGTATATAATTTTTACATAACATAAAACTTCAATTAAAGATTTTCTTTAGATATAGATATATATAAGACTCTACCTTCATTTAGTAAACAGACAGCAACAAAAAGTATCCAGTTTAGAACAGACATTTTGGACTTTGTCATGTACACATGTATATGGTTTCTTTTGATTTTAAATATGTCACAATGGTACACAAGCTATAAAAATTTAATACGTTTAAATATTATAAGTAGTATTAAATTAGCAGTGCATGGATGTAAAGTTTTGATCGTGTAACGAACGAAAACACAACGATTAACTTGGTTAAGTAAATGACTTGTTCAGATTATTTGATGCCATTAATTACTGGTTTGTGTGAACAATTTGCATTGTTTGTGCAGAAAACTTATCATAATGTGTTGATCAAGTTTAAGCATAAATTGTTCATCTAGATTTAAAATGTATGTGATAAATAAGTACACAAAACTATGTTCCTTTTTAATAAAATTAACAGTACAATGTTTACTGCATCAGACGCGCATTTCGACAACTGATATATAAATAAGAAGATGTGGTATGATTGTCAAAGCCAGAAACCGAATGACGTAGAAGTTTGACTATAGGTCACTGTACGGTCTTCAAGGTGCCAACGATGAAAATTTAATACAAATAGACAGGAAATACGAAAAACAAATACAAATTTCATAAAAAAATATCAATAACCTTTCAGTGTCGGAACTCCCGTGGTCTCATCAGTGATGCTCGAGGCCAAACTTTTTCCAAATCCTATATGTTATACAAACGTTGAAAAGTTGATAAAACCAAAAAGAACCAAAAGTAAACAGCCAAACCCGCACAAGGACTCATAGCTATGCATTATGTAGATTCCTTAATTCTCCGTATTTCTATGCCAGTGCCGAAGTACAGACTATACTTAGCTGTTGATACCCTCGACATGCTCGATGATACTAACAGTCCACTAACAATGGTAGTAATAAGATTAATGGTACCTAGTTAACTGCACCAGTAACACATTATTTCACCATCCGGGATTTTTTTTTAAGACATTTTAAAGACATATCATTGTAAAATATCCCAATAATTGCAAGATGACAATTTTCTTAGCAGACATAAAGGTAGAAATTGAACATTTTTTATGTCTGATCCATTTGTCGGCGATTTCATAGTTTTAAAGTGAGCGCCCAACACTCCCCCTATTTTTCACTTAGACCAATAATAAAAGAATAAAGAGGAAAATGCACATAGAATTAGTCTAGAAATAGTCTAGAAATAGTCTAGAAATAGTCTGATTTTAGCCCCTATTGAATATCTAGGATTAAGGGACACCGAAATCGTTCTTTTATGTAATTCATTATACTTTAGTGAATGCATAACGCCCAAATATTACATATATATTCAGGACGATATTTCATTGTGTGAATTTTCCCTAAATTTGTACACATTATAAAAAGAGGAGATATGATAAGAGACATTATTTAACCCCCAAAAAAATTACAATCCTTTCAAAATTATGTTAATTCTATGGAGATATATAACCTGGATACTTTAGTGCAGACGTGTCAGTTGTGATGTCATTATGGTGTAACAAACAGGTCAAAACAGAGAAAGAATGATGGTTATTTGATAGATTTATAATACTTCTAGATTTCGGATCAAAGGGGTAAAAAATGTCCTTATCAAAGCATCTTCTTTAGATGAAAATTCGATGTTTATAAAAATCAAAATAACTCAATATTGATTAGAATACCAAGATTACCGCTTATGAAATGTAAAAATGAACAATGTAATATCCCATTCTAATTGTGGTTTAAAATTTTCATTTTTCAACTATATTTATAGAGATGTGTGGAAAATGTTGACGAATAAACCACCACTATTTTCTTCTTTCTTTTTTGTTATCTTTAAATATTTTTCATTTTTTATCTTTCTATTATAAATCATTATTATTATTATTATTAAAATTCTTACATAACATTTTTGTAGCATTTATAATAAATTATCTATAATATGAAAGTCAATTGTCTAAACTGTACAAATCGCACTATACAGCCATCATACCTATGTGGCAGCATATTGTTCAAATTCTTTTAGAATAAGATTCCATAAATGGAATAATATTTTGACAATTATTTTAAGTGATCAGATGACAAATTTCCTTTGAGGTAATATTCTACGATGAAAATTTTTTCATTTCATTTATATTGCTGTCACGAAATCTTTAATTGTTTTTAAAACAACATGTAGTTGACTGTCTTATTCTATCCTCTAAAGAGTTCTGTTGGAGGGGAGACCAGTATTTCTGCATAACATTCTTAACAGAAAATCGTTATATGTTTAGTCATATGGTTTGATTAGTAAGAGGAAATTATTTTTAAAGAAAGTAAAACCATATCCAGAGTTCACCCTAGCCTTTATGAGAAGTCCCTTGTTGTTTCCAGAAATTTAGAGTTAAGCTTCCAGTTTCCTTAATTTCTAGTGCATTTCAACTGGATACAGTGAAAACTTGAGCATAAACAACAAAACAATACAGAAACAGAAAACAATCGGAACACTGCAATACTTCGTGTTTTTTCTTAATCCTTGGGATACATTATTGTTACTATGGCATTTCGAACAATATGAGAATATAAAATCGAGAAAAATAAATCTGAAATCGATTTTCATTTTTACTAAATAGTTAACAGGGTAAAAAATATGTGTTTGCCTCCGTATAACCTTTATTTTCTTCAATTATACCATTTAACAGAAAAAAAGTATATCTAACAAATTATTTGACCTCGTGAAAATGGCGAATATAAACAGAATCATAATCATGATAAAGTAGCTGGCTGTGACTGGTATAACTATCTACGAATATAAACAGAATCATAATCATGATAAAGTAGCTGTCTGTGACTGGTATAACTATATACGAATATAACGAATATGACTCCGGCTGATAATAACTATACTAGGACATTTTACTGGTACAATTAAACAGAGCTATATATATAGATATATTGATAGTTTGTTATTTGTTTTACTCCCAGTCGAAAATATATCATGCAAATCCGAATATTAAACGTAATCAAAATTTGTTTTTGGGAAAAACAGTTTGATCAGAGGATTTCCATACAAAGATAACCTGGTTTATCTGTTTGACGTATTCATTAAAAACAAACTGTTGAAGTGCCGTTTTAACTTCCAATTGAAAATAAAATCTTCTTTCAGTCCCACGAAGAAAATAAATCTATACGAGAGATTTATGTAAGTTGGTCGATCAGATCTTAAGATTGCCTCTTGCAATGTTTTTCATTCGAGCGGAACCAAATGAAAATCGATTGTAGAGGACCTTCCATTAATCATTTGTGTCATGCTTGGTTATAATTGACCACCCAGTTTCAGAAAAGAGTACGAAAATTTAATTCTCATTAGAGTTTCAGAGGGAACCGACAACCCTGCAATGTTTGTCATCCGTTTATAATTCGTTAAACATTAACCGACATTTTGAGGGCGGCAGATTATGAAAAAAAAATCATTCGAAATTTAGCCGTTTCATTGTTATCTTCTACTTTACTGAATCAAAAAGTAGCTTAAAAGAACCATGAAACCTACCGTTTTCAGAATATATAGCATTATTATGAACACACAGAACATGAACTAAACCAAATTGTTATAATTAAGAACACCTGATGTTCACTTTCAGAACAGTTGACGAACGTGTTCAAAGTGATGGTGTTAAAATATGGAATATGTTCTGTTTTCAAGCGTACATAATTTTTCATTAGTACTTAACTTAAATTGTTATAACAAAAACTACATTCAATTCAGGCAAAATAACAACTCTTTATGTAATCAACTGAGCATATATGAAAGCAAAGGTACATCAAACGCCTTAAAATGTCATAGTAAAAGTATATAATACATCACTGAAATCATATATACTAGTATATCATTTATTCTTAAAATCGACATATATAACGAATACTGATTATTTTTTCTTCGTGCCTAGAGAGTTACTACATCTGTACCGTAACCAAAAGTACATGTCAATGTGATAAGAAGACAGTTTATCAGTCACAACAAAAGTTTAAAATTTGCATTTGAATCGGATATTTACAGTGCAGGTTTATATCAGCAGATCATTTAATTTAACAGGAGCTATGTTCCTTGGACATATAACTTGTGTATGAACAGTTCATTGTAGTACAATTCTTGTCAGATTCTTATGACAGATATATCAAAGGTTTAAATCACAAATGTCTCAGACAACTATTTGTGAAGGAGTTGTACCCATTGGAAACATTAAGTGTATGGAAAATTGCATTGCAAACGTTCTCACACCTACATTTCTTGTAGGATTGATATGAAATTTATATCGACGATTTACTTAGCAATGTCTGCGATGAGTTTGAAAATCAGCGCTTATTAATTAATTTTACATGGAATGTAATTTATATTGAATATTGCATTGTATGCACCCTCACGCCTATGTTTCTTGTCGAATTTTTATGAAGTCAATATCAAAGGTTTACACAAACAAGGTCTTGGAAGAATGCCGACCACTTATTTTTTTAGTTATTGCCCTTGGTCAGTTAAAATATGTTCATCGGTAGAGGAAATTGGACCGCTGATCTTATTTTTTTTTTACTGATTTTAAAAGATCCAGTTAACGTAAGATTGAATTGAATTATCTTATTCCTTCATTCATGTTTTAATTATTTTAAAGAGAATATTTTTTTTAAATTCGCTCGCTCCACTGGAGTAATTCAGCAAATTTATAAATGTGAAAATTGTCAAAGACTAAATACTTGAGCAAACTAACTCATGTGTCATTCATTAGTCACGTAGGGATTGAACTAAATTAAAAGTCAAACAAAAAATGTTTATCCGCAAATTGCAATTATGTGAGGAAAAGCATTCCAAGATGAAATTCAATCAACACATTGTATCATATTCCGACTAATATATAAGCTGGGGTATAATGAATTTCTGTCCATACTCTGTTTCGACCGTTCGTGCGTCAGTCCAACTGATAATGCAAGCATCTATCAACAAAATGATTTGAAGTATATATCTCAAGGATCATAAAATGTTAAATCAAGAAATAGGACCAATCACCTTGTTGAAATTATATCAAACAAGGTCATAACCAATAAATCATTTAATCGTTTCTAAAATTTTCATTTACTAGTTTTACAGTTTAGGTGTACTTCGATTTTCGCCATTA